ACGATGCCATCTTACTCTCGGATTTTTTCCTTGACACAAAAGTCCGCGAAATAACATCGAATGTGTCGCACCGTAATCTGATTGTATGATCGATGGTGTAATAACCCTATGATATAAAAAGAAAAGGATAAACCTAACTTGGTTCCCTTCCTTCCGGTTGCTGGTGTTAAAAGCGAGAACACTAATGTCGAATCGATGTTCTCACTGTGTTAGGAGAGTTACTTTCTCTACTATTAATGCACTAATATATGAAAATGATAGAAACTAACGTTACACACATACTTGTACACTTTTTCATTATTTCTATTTTATTCATTGAAACTTATTGCCACATTGAAAGTTATTACATTAATAACTTATTGTGGTATTGTTAAAACTTTAAAAAGACACAAGTGAAATATATTTCAATGATTTCCTAAGTTAAAGATGATAGTGTATATTGCATGCACCACGCTTGTTTCGAACACTAAATTAGCTAATAATACTATAAAAGTAGGATTGAAATTGAAATCTTACATAACACATATTTCCAAATAGTTTTCAGCATACAATTAATTTTTAATCGGATTAATATAAAAGCGTCGATTACAACGGTGCAAAAAATAACCAACGCTAACATTTCAGAATTCAATAACGTCAATATCGCATCTAATATTTTCATCAGCAAAACGTATTCTTTAAAAGCAAATACTGTTGAAATATCCAATAACGATCAATCGCACGCAGGATTGAGTAAGCATCACGATATCACATTTGATTAAATACGAAATCCGACACGGAATAGTAAAGTAAAAAAGGATTTGTTTTCAATTTTTCATGAAACATGAATAACTACAACCAAGCACATCTGCAGAAAACACCTCGATAATAAGTGTTAAGTAACTGGCTAAATTTATAAGAAACTTAAATTATTAAAAATAACCTTTTCTTTTTCAAAACGATTGCTACAAATGCACATCTATATCGTTATATACAATATTTATTTTAAGTATTATAAACGTTTCACAAAATTTAATTAAAAAAAATTTTAATCTTGGAATTCTCGAATGAAATGTACTATAATATTTTGCACGTATTTCGTTATGAATTATACTTGAAAGACATTTAGAGAGTTTCCCAAGATTTTGTCATTTAATTAATTATATTTATTGAACGTTTTGTATATGATATACATATGTATATTACAAACAATTACAACAACAATAACCGTGGAGTAACATAAATTATTCGGTTAAGACAATAGATTCGTCGATTTTCTATCAACATCTGTGTTATATAAAGTTGGAAGTTTGAAATTCTTCAAAAGGACAATTAAAAACAAATTTGTTAACCAAAGAGAAATATATTGTAACCATTGGCGACAATTTCGCTTCGATTGTATTTGCTGCAATTGTTTGCAACTTTATTTGACAGATACGAAAATCCTTTGTACCAACCTAATAGATTATTGTCAATAACGTTGTTACGTAAATTTAAAAATCGACATCTCACCTCTTAAAATTTTACCTTCTTAAGTAAGCTAAACAGAGAGAGGTTTAATGAAATTAGCCGGGAACTTTTCTAATTAACTCGCTGCGAAGCTATTTTATCTGGGAGACGTGGTTAAATATTCCGCGGAATCTCGATAGACTTATTATGAACGGTTAATGAGCCAAGATAGTTATCGTATAACCGAGAAAAATTTTCAAAATATGTGACAAAGATATCTTTAAACGAAAGAAATATTAAACGTTAGAATATCGATTCATAACATTCAATTCAAATGAGATATCGATAGAAAATCGTGTATAAATGATATGCACACACACATACACACACGCGCGCGCGCGCGCGCGTGCTTAATCTTATTTATTTTTTTGTATCTCACTCAATCGAGATAATCTTGCTATAAAACATCCAAATCTTTTTAAAACTACTTAATATCGGACACCAAAGTTTTGACATGACGTAGATATATTAATCTTTTATAAGAACGTCTGATTCAAAAAGCAAGTGGATAAAACGAAAGATGTGAGATACTCTATATGTATGTGCATACTACATACTGAATGCTGTAACATGATTCAAAATACAGCGATCGCAAAAATATAAATAGGAAATGAAAGATGAAGCTCTTTCATTGGTAGTTTTATTTTTTAATAATGTAGTTGGTACATTATATAACATATGCTTTCTCGATTGCAAGCTTACTACACGTTATACAGATGGTAAACAGTAACTCGTGATGTTTTCGATATCTCATCGCATTTCAAGGAATGAAGAATCGTATCAACTTATTCAGTAGAAATAGAAGGTACATTTACTTACACGATTATAGAATAAAAAATTCGTGATAGTCACAAGACAGTTGAAACAGGTCATCCGTTTATTTATAGAAGCAATTTGGATGGATAGAAAATTACTTCTATAATTATCAAACAGCATCCAGCAAGATAGCCTATGATCAAAAGGAGAAAAGCTGGTGCGATGTCATTTTTGTCAATTTTGGAATTATCGTCTTCCTCGCTTCCCGCTACGTGATGCCTTTTGTTTAATAGGTTTGCCCAAAAGTCAATGAGACCAGCTTGAACGAGCAATTGAATCTTGTAATTAAATTCTGCCAAATACGGAAATTCTTGCCGAGTGGCCAAGGCTAACGGATAACTGCCCACGGTATCTTTTATAATATGAGCATATCCTATATTGCTAGTAGGAGTACGTGTCAAATTCAACATGACGACAAGAGCCAAACTAGTATTTCTTCCCTGGATAAGATCCGAGATCTGCTTGTTATAATCCTGTTGCTCAAGAATAAAAAATTTCTCACGAATAATTTTTCCAACGTGGTCATCCATGTCAGCTTTATCGGGCGTTTCTAACAATTCCGCGAATCGCTGAGTCCCGCCTGCTTTTAGCCCTGAGTTAGCTAATTCCTCCATAGTCTCCATCTGCATATCCGACGTGCTAATCAGATGATCAGCCAACGAACATAGATATAGTTGCGAGAGAAAAAATCCGAATAAGCACCAAGACATGAATTGAATTTTGCCGGAAGCTTTCGTCGGCTGACGAACTGGTACACCGAGAATCAATCCTGCGATGTCCAAAAATGTAATGTCACGAATGAGAAGTAGTTTTACGAGTCCACCGGCAATCAGAACGCAAATTATGGCGTACCAAATCTTGGGGTCGAACGGAGCTATCAAGCCACGTAGAGAAACGTTCGTTTCCGTCGGTATTATCCATGAGATATGCACCATACCGTAACAAGTCGTGTACGTCACTTTTCGACTGAAATCCCACAAGAGTCCACCGAACACTAAATCGTTGGTCGCATTATCAAGTCTCAGATGTATCTCGGTGTCCAGCGTAGTCCTGTGCATCCATTCGAGCTTCTCCCTCTTCAGTTTAATTTTCATGCTACGTGCAATTTCTTCCACCATTAAGCCTTCGATTCCACCAAAACGCAGATAATTGGTGTCGTTGACGAAAGACGTGAATGGAAAATTATTGAACATTGCCGCATTCACGGTAGCGTCGAGTAACGGTTGCGTTTTATCTGTAAAGCGCTGCCATCGAATTGCAGTAGCTTGCTGTTCACATCTGCCTGAAAACGCTGGCTCGGCAAGTGCGTACGATTCGTTGATCCGGACCGGAAGGCTACTGGCGAGCAGAACTGAATCTCCAACTGACGCCAATATCTCGAGCTTGAACATCGTTCGCAGTGACATTTGCTGTACAAGCGTACCAGCTTCTATCAAGAAGTTTTCTTTATCGGTGAACGGATTCGTTAGCACTATTATAAAATTGCAATGCTTGCAGGAATTGACAAAGGAGGAATCGTTCGCTTCGAGAGCGATTCCGCCCTCTGACAAAATAACAACGTTTGTCATAGCGTTGTGCGTTATATTTGTCAGACTGGTGTTTAATGTATAAATCGCACTTGTAACACGTAATTCGTCCAGCAATGGTTCTATCACAGCGGAAATGTCTTGCGGCACACCCGGTAGTAAGAGTGATATTCCAACCGGATATTCAAAGTGTTCCTCGATAAATGTCGCCGTACAAGGTATTAAGTTCTTCAACGCTTCGTCACGCTGATTTTGGCTTTCTATAAGACTTTTCAAGATAACAGATCGATCGGTCGCACGTTGCGACGGTACCTCGGTAACAAAAGCCATAAATATCAGCGCAATAAAAGAGATGCGACGTGGATGAAAGTCTTGCGGCCGATAAAAGTCCAATTTAATATTATCCATGTTTCCTGGACACTTGAGGCGTCACGCGTACCGCATCAATAACCACTTTGAAATGCAACGACGTCGAGTAGTACACACTGCTCGGATACTCGATTCGCGTCGTAACATATTCTAGATGGATCACAGAATGTAAATATCACGTAATGCCACTTTCGTGCACTCACTAGAAAGATAATCTGTTTATCATCCATTTAGCCACGTAGACTACTTATCCGGACTGTTATCGGTACATTGTACGTATACGACATAATATACACAATATACGTATACGCGGACGGACATAACGCGAAAAGGGTGTTTGCAGTTTTTACAAGTAATTAAATTATTGGCAACAAGACCTTCTGCCTAAAATCGAGTGCTGAACATAAAAATTGACAACATTTTCAATTGTATTGCACTACTACATCGAAAGAAGGCAATGCACGTGCGAGCATTGATCGCGTGTTACATTTTCATCGCCATGGCCTTTATGCAAATATTCGTACACACGATACTTGAAAAAATGCAGCAGTCATGCAATCTTGGCGTTAAAAGCCACACTTGGCGTCACGACATTGCGTCGTGACATTGCATAAACGCACTTGTCTATGTCGCATAGCGCAAATCTGATCGAGATATTAATTTGCATAGTGGTCCATGGCCATACAAGCACAGAAATTCATGCAAATAAATACTTTTCTCGTGCGATCATAATCTTATCACGTCGTGCGATTCGCAATTTGGTTAATGTTGCAAGCGGTATCATTTTCTTTTTTGTTACAGAGCTTTCGTCAGAATTTTATGCTACTGTTGCCCGAGACGAATGAAACGGCGGTATCAGCCAGCATTCAGGTGTAAACCAAGTCAGGTGAGTTTAATTTGCCTTTAAATATATATATAAACATTTATCGTTTTTTGAAATAAATATTATTAGTTTAAAGCAAGACATTAGAGAATGTTGAATAGCATACACAGCCCCCAAACTAAGAACAGTATTCATAATCAGGTCTTGTATTTAAGATGATTAATATTAAGATCATCTTTAGATACTTTGTAGTCAATTAAATATTTCATACAGCATCTTAGGTTAAACTTAAATGTAAGATGTGACTATGAATACCGGCCTAATTTTTAATTTCGACCCATTTCTACTTCGTACTAGAACAATCTTGCCTAAATTCATCTAGCGTTAGTGCCCTTCGTAAATTACCCTTACATAAGCAATTAAATTATAAAGATATTTTTTATTCACAAATCGAAACAATGGCGAATGAACAAATAAGAAAAGACCCATGTTGAAAAGATCGGGCTTGACACGATTGATTGAAACGAAAAGCGTAATGTAAATAAATGCCCCATAGTTTATGTCGAGAAATGTCGAGGAAACTGCACCTTTACTAATGCAATTTATTTGCACATAAACTTCTACTGTGACAATTAAACTAACAAATTTAACAAAGGTGCACGTCGAATATTAAAAGTTTCGCTACTGTAATTGATGCACTGTTACTTTGCCAAGAAGAGATAGAGACTAGGACAAGAGAAATAAGCAATTTCCGAGTTAACGATAATAGATATTATATTGTAACATGGTTGTTAGATAGCGCGCACATGCAATTTGGCAGTGAAATGTGCGGTGAATTATTAAGGTATGTCGTTAATAACATACCAATAAATATTCCCTCCATATAACTTGATGTAATAAATATCTACCGCGTGATGTTGATTAGCAATTTTTCATTTTTTAAAAGTTGATTGCCTGTATTATGGTTTTACCATAATCTGTTTAACGTATGCTGACGCGATGACATAAGAAATGTATAAAATTCCACTGGAATCGAAGCGTCAATAGGAATGCTGAAAGGAGCGACGCGTCACATGTGTCACACACTTAACGATTAATTATTAGATACGGGAACGTTTTTATTATATTCCTTTTTTCAGAAATTCGCATCCGGACGGTACTACTCCGCGTATTCCCTCCATCACGTACGGGGAAGTCGAGAAAATTCCGGCGAGCAAACCTACATTTAACAATGGAATATCATCGCGAGCTGGTCGTCGATCGTTGATCGTGAAATTCCCCTCGAGACCTTTTCTTTATTTCTGTTTATGTCGCTTTTCCCTCGTCCTTAATGCAACACAGTTAAAGCCGTATATATAGTTTAGCGACTGATTTCCAAGTAATCACGATCCTCCTCAGTCCGTTTTCCAAGACCCTTACATATCAAAGATCAACGAACATCAACGAATATCAACGCATTCCCATAGAATATAAACTCTCGGTATGTTTTTACTAGTAAATGTGTGACACTTGATCGTAAACACGCACTTGCACAAGGCACTGTTCATTATCTAACGATGCACTTTCTCGCTATAGATATTGTACTTTCCTCATTGGTAATTTTCTTCAAGGGTGATGTCTTATACTTTTAATTTCGATTTACAGATTATTTCTTCCAAGTAACAAGATATATCTAAGTATGTTATGTGAACAGTATAGCTTTATCGATCGTTGACATCGCGAATATGGAGAAAGGTCAAAACTTTTATAAAAACAACCGCAGTTTTTCGAGATCGTATAAGTTTAAACTAGCGAAAGAATGCGAATAATGAGAACTTTGGAGTATAAAAAATGCACGCGCATTTATTCTTCTTCCCATCTTATAGCATTCCCTCCGATATGAACCGATGATTCGAAAAGTTATATATTCAATCTATCCATTCCGTAACACAAAACGTAAATATTTTCGTGCGAGATCTCGTATATTTATATTTCGTACGAATTGCCTCGAAAAGTTTGCCTATAATCAGAGAGCACGAAGGATGCGCTACTTGAAAGATGTAAAAATTTGATGACATAAAGAACGTAAGCGACTGTGCAGATATTAGAAACGACAACAGTGCTCGTGATGCGTTGAGCTTTTCGTTCAAACTACTTCCTCGAGCGCAAAAATATTGCTGATATTTCATATTTCGACGCGCGATACGCCGTCAAGAAGACAATTGGAGTGCGAGACCGTGTGAGGTTTTCCACATTTTTATCGCGAAAAGTTTCTATTTGTGCAACACATAGCAGGGCATAAAGGATCGATGACGATGACAGAAATCTCGCAGCACTCGTGCGCATACAATTAGATAAAATTGGGGAATATCGATGCCAAAAGTCTTAAAATATTATATCGTGGGTACGAGGCAAAATTGATACACGTCCGCGTTTGAAAAATCTAAAATAAACGCGCGACCTCGTACTATCTCCAATAACCTACATAGATACTTTTAGTTTCGCGGTCGCGTTACCAGAAGGAAAGTCGCGGACGCGGGATATATATCGGATAAAAGTGGGAGAAGACAAAAATAAGGAGCATCATTTGACCTTGGGGAATTCAATACCCGATAGAACAAACGAGAAAACTCTGATGCGGTCACTATCCCATGAGATAGGATGAGACAGGACGAAAGACGAAAGACGAAAGACAAAGGCGAAACTTGACTTTTTCGCGTGAGTTATCGCGCGGGCTATATACGGAATAGCTAATTTTATAAATTGATCTCTCTCACGAATCAACGATAAATACATATATATATTGTCGACGAAATCCCCTCTTTAACAGCGACACATTGTTAATTAAATTGGCGAAAATATCGATTAGCGAGCAATTACGTTATCGTGGACGTTTAAGGCGTTTAAAGGCGAAAAGGCGAGAAGAGTGCCACAAAAGATATGTAAACACCCATCCATTTTGCCCAGTTTATTCACTTTGTCGGTAAACTATAAATTTGAAACACGACTCGTCCGCGCATTTGCGGTAGCATTTTTTTCACGGCTGACCGAATATCGAATGATTTGCTTTACGGCCAAGAGCTATCGAAAAACCGTTTAACCACCTAGACCCTCTCCCTATTCAGCCTGGGGTTGTCTCTTCGACCGCACTATTCGCACGATTCGGCGCAAAGCCATGTGTACACGGGGTATGAGCGTGAAGTGTAAAGCTTGTCGCTGATCCGTGGCGACCTTTAAAGGGAAGCAACGAGCGCAGAGAGATTGGTTGCGTTTGAGGCGAAGCCGATGGATCGATTGTCCCTAGGACGACGACAGGAGAGAGGAACCGATCGTCCCGTCGGATAAAAGTGCTCGGCTTCCGCGGAAAACAAATACGGAATTTTTAAGAAAATACTCAAGCTACGCAGCTATGTATGTCCGGAAACTCGCGAGGGTGAAGACACCAATTGTCGAGTCATCTCACACACACACACACACGTACACAATCGGGAGATGAATTAAATGATTTAACAAATTTACTACTGTCGACTGCTAATGACAATCCACCGTTTTTCATTTCTCACGCACTGCAAGCACCTCGCCAATGGCGGACATAATAATGTGGGAAGGAAGGTAGAATGTAATGGCGAAGAGCACGAACACAATTGGAACGGCCGGACGCAAAATTCTGTCTGTGTAAATTCGCTACCTTTGCTAGTTATCGAAAATCTATTTCTGTCCCAATCGAAGGATACATATATATGTTTCTATAGAGGAATGGAGGAGAACGGAGCAAGTTTACACGCTGCAAAGCGTGTAAAACCTGTTTGGTACTACTTCGATTTTCTCGAGATGGTGAAAGAGTCATTGGGAGAGCGTAATAATTGTTATGTCATTTTGTTTCAGTACATCTCCGGAATGGCAACGGGAGGGCAGGCGAGTAACGTGAGCTACAGCAGCGTCAGTCAGAGCAGCGACGGCGGCGTATGTGCGACCGGAAGTGGACTGGGTCTCCCCAGTAGCGGTATGTGACGGCACACATCGGCCCGAACAGGGCCACGGCGAGAACGAGCGATTCGATTCCGTGATGCGTGAGTAGAAGCGCGATTCCAACAATTGACTTTCACAAAAGCTAAAAGAATCCTTCTCATCACGCCTGAAAAATATCTCAAGAGATATCTCCTCGATCAAGTGCTCCGATGTGCTTCAAGATTACGAGATTGATGACGAGGCTCCTACGGCCGCGCCGGAATGAAGAAACGACTTGTGACTCTCAAATCTATATCTACATGTAGATTATTGTAGATCGCTAAATATCTACGAAACGTGTACTTAACATCAATTCATATCGCCACGATTTAAATAAGTTGTTGCATTTTCGCTCGCGTAATCACACTAACGAGCAAGTTAATGCCTTGTGAATATATACATACTATATATTCGGTCACCACCCGAGCTCTTGAAGAAAAGAGTTGAGATTCATAAAAAGCAACGTGGGGTAAAATCCGGCTACGATTACGACTTGGTCAGCGTAATGCGCCGCAAGAGACTCCACTTGTACATGTTCTATTCGTGTTAAAGAAATCTTGCAGGAAAAACGTCCTTTTACATGTGCAATTTTCAAGACACAGTCTCTCGTCTCAAGATTGGCTATATATATACATATAATATCGACACTACCGTAGTATTGTAATGTAAACACGTCGATATGAAATTAAATAACAATCGCTGATACAAGATTCCTTATCTAATTCTGTCTGACGCCGTTGATGCGACAAAAGCTAATTGTGTCCATTGGATATTCGTGACAAATTAGATAGCATCTGACTCGTTCGATAGAAAAGAAATATATAAATAAGAAAATTGGCGAGAAAAAGATCAATGTATTCCGCAAGCAATATACGTGTACATAGATTTTGTCGTGACTTCTTTGTAAACGTACATACTACGCAGGTAATTTTGCAAGAAGAAACCAGTCATGTATATTGACTAGTCTTAAGAATGGAAAGAGAGTCGGAGGGAAAAGCATTTTTTACTTTATTGCAGTTTATAAAATTTTTCAGATGAAAGGGCTTCCGCACCGGCTTTTAGAAAAATTTATTTTATTTCATTTCTGCAGCGTATACCTTTTATAATAATATCCGATTAAACACCAGCTAACAGTTACATAACATCAATTTCTCACTCAACAATATAAATGCAATATAACACATGTTGTACATAACAGTCACATTGTTGAATAGGAAATTATAATACATGTGTAACCGTCAGTTCCAATCGGTCAGTTGGTGTTTACTGGGATTATAATCCACGTTACAATTTCCTAGATTGCCCCGTTTATACGTCGATTAACGTACAATATATCACGCAATTCTCTTTCCGATAATCAATACAAGTATTGGAAAAGATTTTCTGTGAAACATAAGAGAACCGCAATCAAAAGCAATTATTTCTTGTTGCGATAAAGAGAAATGATCCTTTGATCGGTAGCTCAAGTATTCATAAATTGCCAACTTTGTAACATTTCTCAGAAGGCCTCTCTAAAAACAACAAATTATTAGCTTCTGATTTTTAACTATAAAGCATCTCCTTGTTTTTGTCAGACTCATTTCAAAAATGTACGCTGTAATATTTTTATTTAACAAATCTCTCGCTAAAAAACTTAACAAGTTTACACATGCCTCTTTGCTATTGGAAACAATTATATAATTTGGCTTTTGTCTATGTAACAGTGACTACGGGACCAAAAGATTTTACTCTAACTCTTTTTCTATTACTAATATTTTTCGAGATACATGACTTGATTTTCCATGAAATGTGTGTCTTGCCAGATATAAAATATCTTGGCAAAGATTACTCAACGTGGTGCTCATATTAATATGAACACTTGATGATTACAATAACGCGTTACAAGACTAATTAATACTGTTTTCAACGTCTTACGTTATAGTAAATCAATTCAGTTATAAAAAAAAGATAACAATCGGTAGATCTTGAACAGATATAAATAATATATCGACCGTTTCGCGTGAAAATTAGTAAAACCCATTTTATTCTTCTTATCAGCAAGAGATGAAGAAGCAAAGGATCATCAAATAAAATTGAAACTCATCTCTCTCATTATTAGCTTGTAATATAAACATTCCAATGACTGGCAATAGATTGTATATACATGTTAAGCGTGGCGTTGACGATAACCCAGTGAAAACATCAGCCTAGTTAAAATGATGTCGGTATGACATCAAAATCGTTATTTGACACTATCTGTATTGACGCTGTACGCGATAAAAGATTATGTGGAAAGGTGAAAATAGATGTCTATTTGATAATTGTAGTGTTATGTAAGAAAAACTCAAACATATTATGTTGACGTCCAAATTCTCATAATTCACTTTGCCATATCAATTATTTTTCTATTTTAACTGTATAAGTTTCTTCGATATTTCTTTGACTTGTTGCATATACATCTTTCATCTTGCGTTTCAACAATTTTTTCATAGAGCAAGTATTTTACGATTTATTTAAGGTCGTCAGATGTTAGATGACTCATCCTGTATATAAATATGTATTTATATTCAATATAATTTTGTTTTAGTTTTGCACTTATTCCTGTAGAAAGTAATTGTTTACTTTTGAACAAACATCGAAAGTCTAAGTCACCATCAAGGCATGGGACGTCTTGCAGTTAAATTATCATCATTTTGTCCACTCATATCGCTCATCAATTTGATGGCATTTTGACATCACTTTGATCAGGCTGTTTTCACTGGGAACACTTTAGCTTCGAATTATCAAACTTGGTATTTTATTTGACATGCAAATATTAATCGAAAATGCATATTATATTAAATTGGACAAAGTAGCGAATATCCTCATTAAATTCTCTCTTCTCCTTTTCTCCGAGCTTCTAATATTTTTCTACTTGACCTCGTCTATTTCTAAAAGATGTTATTTTAGTATAACCTTTCTCACACAAATTATTTGTCCAAAGGATTAATAATTACATTTTAGTGGAGCAATTGGTGTTTGTAAAAAGTCTAAATAACAAGTCGTACGATCGCTCTTTCAGGGAAAGCACTAGAAAAATTATTTTTTTTTCTTTGACTTTGTAAATATCATAAACTAAATAGAAAGAATCTTACTTTGTAATAAATATAGTCTTGTATGTACAGGAGTACAGAGTCTATTTAGAATCTCTCAAGACTGCACGTCAGTACCTTCAAAAACGGTGTCTGTAACGTACTGTCCTTTATAATAAAATAATAATAAAAATGTACTTCCTATTATTGTACACTTTATTGTTTTTCCCCCATCAACTTCCTTTTGTCCTAACAGAAATTGATTATTAAAAAGAAATAAACGAAATAATGTCTTTCCTTTTTCTTGAAATGGTTGTTTATACAATTTTACTCAATTCCAAATGTTAAAAATTTCTCTGGACGAATTAACAGCTGATTGTCTAAAGTTAGATATAAAGTTTTTATTGAGTGTGAAATGTTAATAATATTCCAAAAATTATGTATCGAATATCTAAAAATCTCAAAAGCCTTATTTTATTGATCTAATCCAGAAATCTTTTCTTCGCAACAATTACACAATCTAAGAATGAATTTTCCACCAAACAGATTTTGCTCCAAGGGCATGTATAGTGTAATCAACTGATAATGCCTGACTTTCCTCTATTACATTACTCAAGGATTTTTGAAACACATTTGATAGTAATGAATTTTCTACTTATCTACAAAAGAAAACACCGCGCGTTCAATGTACCGACGTCTAATATCCAATAGAGAAACGTCTTTCCTAGGAACTTTAGTCGACGATATTTTTGTCCTTAAAGTTAAATGTTATTGGACACGTAATGTCGGACAAGCGCAAGCTCGCCACTATACTTATTGCCCGTACTATAGAGAAGATTCAATTCGTTTAGTTAGCAAGCCTGTTGACATTACCCGTGTGGTTAGGTTAGGATTAGTGTATATGTGATGCTTCGTTTCCGTTATTATTACACAAGAATCTGATAGAAAGTGATTGAGATTGATGAAAAACGCGGGATTCTCTAGCTAATTAGACACACTTGATCGAATGTATATGAGATGTAGATATAGCACAAGCGTCACAAAAATCACAAAACATGAAGATGAGCGATAGATACGTCGATCATACGCGTGTCGCTTAAATGTTATGAAAATGACGTACCCGGGATTAGTATTACTTGTCGGAGTTGGAGTTGGGATAGCGACTTTTCTCTATTATGTGTTCACCGAAAACAACCGCTCGGATGGACAGTATTCGGGGTATTCGAGAAACGGAAGATCGTCCGAAGACCACTACGAAGACCGCTCTTGGTCGACGTCGTCACACTCTACTGAAAAGTATATATATATATACACCTGCATAAGTATCAATCTCTGCGCACGTTAATCGTCTCCTTTTCTCTCTTACAACGTAGTAGAACCATTGCGTTTACTTTTCTCAAGACTGTTACAACACTTTAGGACACTGCGGTATTACAAGAGATCTTTACTTTCAGTGCACTGTTAAATAGAAGAAGTTCAGCGAACTGTTCGAAAAGTAAAGACCGAAGAGACCTCACGACAAGTAAAGATGACACAATCAATTGTTCCATCTGCCAATATGCGTTAGTTGATTCGGATGTGATACAATTGCGTCCTTGTAGACATAATTTTCACAAGGATTGCATTAATGAATTGACAAAATACGATCCTGGGGTAAAATCCAAAATGCACTAATATCAAATAGATATGAGCTTGTGTACGACGCAGAAAAATTCATGCTTCTACTTGTTTATGTTGCAGGCCGTTTGTCCTAATTGCAGAAGAAAATTTAGACCCGCGACATAGGTCCGTACATACACGCAATAGAGTGTTTCCATCATTTTGTACAGTTATCTACAAACGTTGTTATACTTGATGGTTTCATTCAATCATAGCTTAAACGTTTACGATATGTTCAAAGCAATATATAAAATGCACAATCTTTTTACATTAGATATCTCGTTAGATGTGTCGTTAATGAAATTATCGTATACATTTCCAGACTCGGCTTCTGATCATACGCTTTGTGGAAAGGTAGAAAATTCACTCTTTTTCGTGCTTGTAAAGTCACACGTCGCGTGTAGAGAGAGAGAGAGAGAAATGTATCCTTTAACCGAGTATACAATATCTGTCTGTTTTAAGAGAAAAACTATAATGCAATTTACGATACCAAGTATACCAATTGAGAAGGTATAAAAAAGTATCAAGAGATTTATGATTGCAAAGCCTGAGTACTTTCTATCAAACAAATATCCACGTGTAACTTTCTCTCCTTTTATTATCGATCGAATCAAATAATCTCGCTTGGTTACGCTAGAATCACGATTTATATCAAAGAAATTACATATATATATATATATATATATATCCTCATCTCTGACGAAATTGGTGAAATAGAAACTTGAGTTACATGTATCAAGAGTAGCAGCTACCGAGTGATATTAAAGTAGTGCTGTATGTAAGAAATTAGTCCATTTATATAATAAGGTAATTAGCAAGAGAGATTACAGTCTATACAGATACACACATACACACAATTGTTGTACGAATATATCCGACGATTGTATGGATAATTAATATAGTAATGCGCTACTATCGACCCGCTTTCCCTTTCGTTGGTCGTAAATCGATTTGAATAGCCGTGTCGTAACGCGACTAAGGCCTGGTCTACAATGAGTTGTCAAATGGTCAGTCAGAAGTATGAAAATATAGTGACTAACGACTAATAATTCGCCTAAAGCCCGTATCGGGCTACGATTGAGATTGAGCTTAGATTGAAATTTGACCAGTTAGAGTCAAAGTTACTAAAGTTGAGATTAATAAACGTTACTGCGTTTGGTGAAATTTCAATCTGATCCCAGTGGCAATTCCGTAGTCTGATAGGGGCTTAGCGCGAGGCGGTAATGCGGCGTACGTGTGACGGTGACAGCAACGGCGACGCGCGTATTCTGTAACATTTTGTCTAGTGAGCGGCGTGGAAAGCCACGCGCGAGGTAGTCGCGCTTTGCTCGGTAATCCGGGAAGCGTTTTCGTTGGATCGGAGCCGAGAAGCTCTCGTCTCGTCACTGCTATCTTCTACGCACAGTCGGTGATACAAGAATGCAGAAATTTGTGAGACAAGAGAGCGCGGATCGGTGATTATCGATCGCGTTCCTCGTGTGTCAAAATGTATCGATGGAACGAACATGACAGGATTATTGTTTCTTGTACTTGTTGTAACACGCGCGGTCGCTGGGTCGCGGCTCTTCGCGGCCAATGAGAAGCAAGGTACGTATCTCGTTATACATCGATATAAACTGCGAGTGTAGCTAAACGAACATTTACTCCGTCCTCTTTTTTTTTCTCTCTCTCTTTTTACGTACGGAAATTCCGCGTCTTCTCTGCGCCATTTGCTTCGAATTCCGCGCGAGCGTGTACGAAACGAATGTCGTCGAGTGATTTGATCGAGAATAATCCAACGTTTTGTTATGTAAACCTGCGCTTGTAATTGTAAGAGGAATTGTGCTCCCTATCGAATTTATACGAGCGGCGGATTGTAAGAAAAATAAAATTGATGTTTATTCACGTTTCCTCGATATATCGTTTCCCCTGCTATCCTGCTGTTCTTTTAGACAGCCTGAAAGGGATTTATCAGCATTGAGCAGTGGGGGCGCTTGGGAAACTTTGACGCATCTTCGCCGCAAAACTCGTACTTATTCCGCAAATACCTGTACGAATACGTGCGCGCAGGCTGCAGGGTTAAATATCGGTTGTCCCATTTCTGGACCGGTTCCACGGACTTGCAGGCGTGCGATCGTCGAAAGAAGCAAAGCGAGTTGAAGCGGGTATCGAAACGAGTTGCGCGCTCCTTCGTTTTCGATTTTGCCAGTGCGTGCCCCTTCGGGTTCCCTCTCAAAGTGCACGAGACGGCGTATCGACTATCGATCCGACGAACCGACGAAAAAATATACCTACCGACAGCAAACTCGCAATTACGAGATCGAAAACTTATCGACGCTGATATCCGCTTGGCGCGCCACATATTTTTCGATTCGAAAGTCGACTTTTAACTTTGCGCGCTGGCGAGAAACGCGACCAAGCACGGAAACACCCGCCGCGTTTGTCTCACCTTGTTAGAGTCGCATAATGGGGTTACGAGAATCTTACGTTGACCTACGTGCCCGTTTCTCGCCAAACAGCGTCAACAGGCATGCACTCCGAGAGAGAGAGAGAGATACATTGTAGGTACGATGCGTCACACATAACTCTTGTCCGTAGTAAGAAGACTCATACGAGATTGGGCACCTTTGGTATGGCTCGCGCCCGGAGAACGATTCTTGCCTCTCGGCGTCACCGAATTCCTCGATAACGTACAATCGGACCAGTATTACCTTCGCACTAGAATAGACGTAGGTAAATATGTCAATATAATATGTAACGAGAGAGAGAGAGAGCTTTTCAAGTTGAATCTCATTTCGCAACTATCGTTTCACCTTTCAAATCATTCAGAGTCCCTATTGAAGAATCGATCCTCCTTCCTGTATGGCCGAAAGCCCGCTGGAACCGTGCCCGTCTACGCCCTCGTGAAAAATTGCCTCTCCAGAGACGCGCGGCTACGCGCAGCTCGGAATACGCCAAAGGAGGTACGCAACACTTTGACGCTGCCGCAGGAGCCAGGACTCTCCAATCGTTTCAGAGCGCAAATTATATCGCGGCAACAAGTGCGCCAGGTAAAGTACAATCAACGAAAGAGCGAGTAACGACAATTGGTGATTTTTCCAACTAATTTCAGGCAACGGTACCGCGACTCGGAAAGGTCAAGGCAGCGAGTGCGTGTGAAAAAGTACACTTTCACGTCACCTATTGGATGTTCTATCCGTTTAGCGAGGGAAAAACCATCTGCGTGCTGGACCTTGGATTTCTCGGCAGCTGGCCGATACCCACCATTGGTGGTGCGTGCATAGGTACGCTTAAAGAGTACGGCAGTCACATCGGAGATTGGGAACACATGAGTCTTTATTTCAAGGTAAATTATCTTTAGCCTGACAAAACACCGCTCATGTCGCTACCTAAAGTCTATATCAAAATACCATGTATCGTCATTTAGGATAACCAGTATCCTCTGGCAATGTACGTATCGGCACACGATGCCGGTGCGTTTTATCAATATGATCCGCGAAATGGTACTTTCGTCTACGAGAGTCAAGAAACGAGAAAAGGTCTCCTCCAGAAGCCAACATTTCCTGAAAAGGTTTACACCGCTGGCGATTCGCATCCGATATTATTTAGCGCACGCGGCTCTCACGGCCTCTGGACAGCTCCAGGGAAACATAAATTCGTGCGGGTACCTCGTCTGTACGACGAGAGTGGATTCGGGACCGCTTGGCCGACCTGGAAAAGACTCGAGTTGCTCTTGGAAGAGGACAACGAGCCTTTACCAGGCTGGATGACCTTTAGAGGCAAATGGGGTAATCCCAGCAGCAATTGCCATCCTCTAGCCAAACTAGGCTTTAACATTTGCCAATTTGTAGACGGCCCAACCGGGATTCCTATGAAAAAATTCAATTTTCAATGTTAAAGTCTCGCCAGGTCGGTTAGGTAACAAGACTGATCGCGCATCTATTTCTATTCAAATCTACAGATACGATCTTCATCTTCACCAACGATTGACAAGTAAAATTTAGGGCAACGTCTCTGTAAACATCTTTTTATTTAACGGAAACTTGGTTGAAAATTCACATCGATATCGACCGATATAAAATGATAACAAAATAGGATTTGTTCGATACAACTTACATAATTAGCAGATAATGATTAGGTAGTGTTGCAGCTTTTGCATCTCGCTTTTTCTTTTTTTTAAGGTAGTAGGCAAACTATCTCATTTTGTGCAGCATTGACAATTATTCGCTCTAGTCTCGCGGCTATACCGAACCATTCCAACTCTTACTTGATACTTAGCACTTGAATGCTTATGTATAAACGTTCGTCATTGATATACAGCTCGACAATAAGCAGCATCACTCGGACACCTCATCCTCATCGGTTCCTTCAACGGCAATACTGCGTATGCCATTTCGCAACAATGGGGTACCCTTGTCTTTTGCTAAAACACGTGCGTTCAATACAATTTTCAACGGAGTACCCGATGGACAACACATCACTTCGACATCCTCCTTTAATATCTTCTCTTTGTATGCCAACAGTTCTACTTTTAATCTGAGACAAAAAACGAAATGTTTCAACAGTTGGATAAATTTTTTATATGAAAATGTTATGTATACTCGATTAATTGTGAGAAATATATAACAAATTTTATACCTCAAGCCATCCTTTTCCTGCGCAAAGTCGACAATGTGGCAATTTGCATTGTGATTTCCTGCAATTACCGCCGGAGCCACCGTTTTCTCCTCCAGATGAATACACGTGTTCCACGGCACTGAAAACTCTATGTGATATCTGGAATCAATATACATATTCGTTCCCTCTGTTTTTCTGCATTTCCCCATATATATTTGACAAATTAAAGCGTCTTCCCAGCGAGATAGCAATGACAAGACCGATTAATAAATTGATACGGCAAGTAACCTGTGATACAGTTGCAAGAACCCTAAATGAGCATCTATATGGCCATGTCGCTGTGGCTGTATCATAATATTGTTATCTTTTCCAAGTCCGCTTCCACCGCTAAAGTGAACATGATGCTCTGAAAATACAATTATTTCATGAAACCACACACATTATACATGTTAACCAAGTACTACACGCACAATCTCCTGTCATGTAATTGCATAATTTTTATGTGCACGCGAAGCACCGTTTGTTTTTAAGTAACAAAACGAAACAAATTGTTTCACACTTGGATGCCATCGTATGACTTAACAAACACTTGCTACATCACCGACGAAATACTCGTAATAAACAAAGTACCTTTATCTCCCATGTTCCACAAAATGGTTTGGCAGATGTGACGGTTCTACTTTCATGCTGTTCGCGAACGGAATTGACGAGACCAGTCGCCCCTAACGACTGGCGACCTAGAGTCTAGGTCTAAAATAGAGGTTAAGTTTTAGGGTTTGGGGATTTTATTTAGGGCTGTTAAAAGTTTCGTTTAGGGTTTTAGAGTATCAAAACTGGACACTTTATACTATATATCGAATATGATTGGCTTGAAAACCATGTCGTTACTTATAAATCTACAGACTAAACTCATACTAATTATGTTGTATATACACACTAAATTCAACTAGATTAAAGTAAATGTACACGCTTCGAAATACGTCAGCTTTTGAAATATCGCGGTATTTATCAGATTTCTCGTACTATCCGCAAAGTTACGAGCTAATATATTCGAAATAATACAAGAGAGACAAGCCTCAAGTCTTATAACAAGAATTCCGGGGTGGAATAAATATCAGGCTGTACGTTACCATCGCAAACCTCGCAAGGATCAAAGTGCTATTTCACTTTTTTGCGAATTTGCATAATTTAGAATGACTAAAGTATTACCAAGAAACGTCGGCTAGAGACACACGGCAGCACAGCGGCGTAATGACGCATAAGGAATAAAAAAAACACGCCATTTATTAAAGCTGAATATACGAAAAACATGTTAAACCTCTGATTTTATCTATACTTTAATTATATTGATTGATACGTATTTATCTTGGCGGTTTCTTACACAGCTCGTAAATAATTAAGCAACAACTTTTAAATCGTAGTTTTTTCTTTTTTGCTTGGGTTACATTATTGAATATCATAGCTAAAGGAATATTCCATCGAAAGTTAAGATATACAAACCCAGATAGCACAAGACACTCCTATCAACATTTTAAGAATATTCTTCAAGAATATTTGGAATATTCCATAGGTCATTCTTATATATTTATCTTATGTTCGTGCAACATTCGACTGGCACTACAATAAATAAAATTTTTCGACACAGGTTTCACTGCCTTTTACATAAGATAAGTGTATTACACAATAAACAATGTGCAATACATAAACTCGATAAATATTAAAAAATTATTCTGAACGGACGTTCCTTTGTTATGAATATACGATTTCTAATTGTAATAATCTATATCTATTTATAGAATCTTTGTACTCCAGAAGAATATTCATAGAACTATATAGGTGCTATCTGCTGATCTTATTTAGCTCCGCGGTATTCTGTAAGAAGATTTTTCCAAGTTCTGTAATTCTCTGTAGCTCTTAATTCTTTTCACTCATCGCTCTTTCTTTCTTATATACATATTTTTACACAGACCAGGTAACATAAATATATAGAATTATATAAAAAATATGTCCATATACATATTTTTACATTGTATATTTCTAAAGAATTTTATTCTATAGAATTCTACACAGTTCTGTATACTTTTATATAGATTACTACATGCTTTTATGTGAAAAATTTTCTAATGATGACATTCGATTTTATGGAGCGTCAACATTAACAGACACTTCCCCCTTCCCCTATCAGTCCATTATCGAAAGTTTACTGTGTATTATTAAGTTACGTGATTTCATTTTTATCTCACTCTTTGGTTCAACGATAACCTCTTACTTGGGAAAAATGCGATTACCGAGTATTTAGTCTGTTTCATGCAAAATAGATTTTTATAAACACGCGATAAATAGATGTTAAAACAAAAATATCGTAGTATCAAAGTACACGATAATCAATCTCAGAAAGCCGCAAGTTGTCCTTGCGCGCACCTCCACCTCTTTCGTCCGAATCGTCAGGATTATTCATACGAAATGCATACATATGTAATGTAGTTAAAGTGCTATCGCGCTAAGTGATCTTTTTATATGACGGGGAGGACACCTGTAGTACTTAATTACCGTGACAATATTATATCGTGATGGAAGGAAATTATATAAAATCGGCTGTATAATGATAATGATGTGTGCGTATGGAGTATACCATGAGGTAATTGACGCTCAGAATAGTAAAACTCTAATCGGCAGAACCGCAATAATTCCAAGAAAATTCTGCCGACAGACGATACTCATCTTTAGACGAAGCATTTATTTCAAGCATAATTATACCAGAAACACAGCGAATTTATACTTATTACCAAGAAAAATACCAGCTGCAAAGTTTCCTTCTTAATGCGACAGGAAGTACACTTCTATTTAATAATCTCGGAAAAATTGCACGTTTTGTTTCGTGTCTAAAAAAAGACTTAGTTTTCAACAATGTCGATGCGTTGATCAGATAATAAGATAGAATTAATAATGCACTCGAGCACTAATAATCTCATATGGTATTTTCTCATTAACGATGTCAGACTATGTATTTCTTTCAACTTTTCGTTATCGCAATGTCACGTCGTCATTGCGTAAACTTGTAAACAATCGGCTATCATTACCTTTTGCTTCGTTAACAATTTCTTCTCTAGCTCTTTCTCTCTCCTCCCCTCCCCTTATATATTTCTCGCAAATTTACATAATCTTTCTCTTCTTGCCGCACCTTTTTAGATCAATAAAAGAATTGAATATTCCTTTCTTCTCACATGTGGAAGTTTATTATTAACTATAATTGGAATTAATCAACATGCTGCTCTTTTACCTGATAAATTTTTCAAACATCTAACAATTGTGTTGTGTAAAAATAAACTCTCCTATTTATAATACGCATTGTCAAATATTAATAGCAGAATTTCAAAACTTGAAACGTGTTATTTTCTTGCCATTATTGCCATGATTTATTGCTTCCTCGGAGGAATAACAGACATGATTCGAACATTCCCCCACGCATGGGGCCAGAGATCGTCAAGGAGAACACATGATCGTTATGTCACAAACTATAAAAGCTTAGGACACTAGCTTGTGTTTAGCCAGTAACTCTTTGATCACGGACTTGAACTACATCGTGTCGAAAAGAAAAAGCAAACATGAAAGGCATCGTAATCGTACTTGCAATTTGTCTCGTCGCCGTCTTGGTAAGATTATTGTTTTCGCTAATAGTGTATTTAATCTGCTTTTCTCGAAAATATATGGTAATTTTTTAACTTGCCCTTTATTCATTACATTCACTTCAATTCTATCAGACTTATTGTTCGCATATATCCTTAACACTTTATTTTGTGAAAGCTCCCTAGAATTTCTTTCTAACTTTTCTAATTTTAGACTGCGTACTGTTTCTTCACACAGAATGAAAATTAAATATTAAAACACCTCAAATAGGGGGAGGCATATAAAAAAATGCACTAAAATTACTAACGATAAGCATGACATTTAATTATATCCAAGTATGAATAATAATACCCAAATACCTATTTGATTTAGGGTGAGCTCACAGACGAACAAAAGGTAAAATTGAGAGAGCATAAAGAAGCCTGTATCACTGAATCTGGCGTTGATCCAAGTAAATAAAAAATAAACTATATGCATGATTAATCGAAAATAACACTAAAATGATTTATACATAAATAATAATTTGCGTTTCAGCCGTGGTCGAAAATGCGAAAAAAGGGGAAATACCGGAAAACGATGAAAAGCTTGCCTGCTTCAGTACCTGTTTGTTAAAGAAAGCGGGAATTGTAAGCGAGACTTGTGTTTCATTTTAATTGATGTATTAAGGAAATAAATTAATTTCTCATGTCGCTTGTGCCAGATGAACGATGCCGGAGATATTGACTGGGAGGTAGCTCGTAGTAAATTGCCAGCAGAAGTAACGGAAGAACAAGCTGAGGAAATACATAACGCATGCAAAGACATCAGTGAGTATAATATGAATTTGACAAAAGCCTAGATCGATTTGTATCCGTTTACAGAATTGATATTGTAATCTTACGACTCTCTCTCTCTCTCTCGAGTCTCTGAAATATTTCTCTTAAATGAAAGCGGAATGAAATCAATTGAAATTATTTGTTTCAGCTGGAACTGGTTGCGAAAAGGGACACAATGTGCTTAAATGTTTTATCGAAAAGAAACGATTCTATCTTTTGCATTAGCGAATAAGACCAAACATGACAATAAAACCTAATTGGATCTATTAGTCAGATCTGTCGTCTACGTTTAGATGACATTAAAATATTACCTTGCACATTCATGTAAATGATAATGTAGAGTCGTATTGATGAAAAAATAAATATACGTATCGTTTCAGCATAAAACAAGTCTATCTTTAATTTTCCTAAACTCCCTACAAATATAAGTTTCTATAGAACATACATTATCGCTTATAATTATTCAAACGACAGATATTTTATTCTTTACTTTGATGTCTTTTCTACAGCTTATATGTAAAATACTTTTCATCAATAAATATTACTCCTCCTTCTATATTTTGAACCTTAAGTTATTTTAATTATTAACCGTAGTGTACATATTAAACCGAACAGAGTGATTTAAAGTTATTTACTGATTGACGTAAAATCTAAATTTTGTATTTAGTATCAAAGATAAAAATTTATTGAACTTAAAATAATTAAATTAAACTGATTTGCAATAAGGCACGTAAAAAAGATATTTGTAATAGCAAATTAAATTATCACTGTGTGATATCACCGGTAAAGACAGTCTATCCAATTTTTTAGATTCCACGTGACAATACGCTTGGTTTGCTAAATTATCTTATATATTTATTTAATAATATTCAATAATTTAAACATCTCTCGCCAGTCATTCGGCATAGTCATATCTTGTTTTAAGTGTATCTTAAGACTACGTCGAATACCGGCGAGAGATATTTAAATGTTGTATTAACATTTCATTGGCTACGGAGTGTTTAAAAATGATCTCAAGACAGTCTTAAATATAAAATCTAATTATGACTATGCCTCTGCTTCAGTTTGAAAAACAATTTCTTTTGGAGGAGATGGCAATATGGGAGAGAGTCATAACATTGAAATCATTGTAAAATTTGATACACGAAGGTTATCTGGCGCGATAACTCGGTATTGACATAGTAATAACAGGTCAATAAGACGAGAGATTATGAAAAAATTCCAAGGAATTGTATTTCGTTTATCGCAAATATTTGATTACAAGTTAAAAATCAAACCAGCTTATTTCTCTTCATAACTAAAGTGATTTGAAATAATTTGCACTTAACTATTAAAATACAGCAATTTGTCCGCATAATATTTATATTAAGTTCTACGACATAACGAAAACTCGTGGAATTACTTCATATTTTCTTTATTTTTAATTTACCTGTATCAAATCTCTGCTAAATTGGTTCGAGTCACCGCTAATTGTAAGTAGGTTCGAGTCTCCGCTAAGTGGGTTCGAATCTCGACTACGTGGGTTCGAGTCTTGTGTAGCATGATTCCACGTTGTCACACGTATGTGCTTGACTGAAGAACATGGCTTCGAAAGAAAGTAACCTTTCTGTATTGTATACGGAATTAAATAAATTAGGACAAAATGGGGAATATGAGAGAGCTGTAAAAACTGCAAACAGAAGTAAGCTAAACGTAGTGGAAGTAGAATCGATTATCACGACGAAAGTAATCTCTGCTTGCTGCTGTAACACTTTGATATTTCATACACTTTTTACTTTCGTAAAATTACGCTTATTATATCATTCCTCGAGACAACTTAGATTCTAAAGGCACCGTGAAGCAAAATGTGTTATTTCGAGCACTGTGAGGTAATTCCGTATTTAGTTTTAGGCATCTCCCAAGATGAAGAAGCGGCGTTTCACTGTAAGATCATTTGTTACATCCAGCTGTCCAAGTTCAACGACGCGTTACAACTTATTGTTAAAACCCCGAAATTGGCAACGTATGACAATATTATACAATGGTATTGATATTGTAATACTTGTAATATTGTACAATGTTTTTCTCTCTAGGAATTTGGAGTTTGAAAAGGGATACTGTCTATACCGTTTAAATCAAGTTTCCGAGGCATTGAAAGTGATAGAAAATGTGCAAAATCCTTCTCTCAAGATTAAAGAGCTAAAAGCTCAGATATTGTATCGCCTAGAAAAATATGAAGAATGTTTTGCGGTGTATAGAGACATCATTAAGAATTCAAATGACGAATACGAAGAAGAGAGAGAAACTAACCTTGCCGCTGTTCTTGGAAACTTAGCAATCGAAGGTTCTGTGAGTATCGTGCATTTTGGAAAAACTCACAAACAATTTAATATTAAAATATCAATATTATTTTAACGTACAAAAATCATTCCTAGGATTTAGAAGTTCCTTCCTTACGCGAGCATACTTACGAGTTAACGTACAACGCGGCGTGTCGTTTACTCGCACAAGGAAGCAGAGATGATAAAGCTACTTTAGTAGAAGCAGAAAAGAAATTGCGAACCGCTGAGAAGATGTGCAAGGAGGGATTGGAGGAAGATGGAGCATCCGAGGAGGAGATTGAAAATGAGTTGGGTGTAATTCGAGTACAGCTTGGCTACTGCTTACAATTGCAAGGCCGAGATAAGGAAGCACATGCGTTATATACAGCTGCTCTAAAGGCCAAGCCAGACGATATTGCACTGGTTGCCGTAGCTAGCAACAATTTAGTATGTCTGAATAAAGATCAGAATGTCTTTGACAGTAAAAAGAGGATGAAAAGTGCCACTCACGAGAGTCTAGAGCACAAATTAACTTCTAAGCAAAGAAAATATATCGCATACAATCAGTGTTTACTAGCGTTTTACACCGATCAAGTAAGTCTGTTGTATGACACTACGTATCTTTTTTATTATCGTTAACATTACGCACATATCTTTTTTCAGGGAGAACAGTGTCACCAGCTGTGCAATTATCTTGCGAAAGAGTGCGTAATACTTGCAGCAGATGCAATGTTCATAAAAGCTGTACAACTTGGTAAAGAGGGTAAACCGAAAGAAGCAGTAAAACTATTGATCGAACATGCAGTCGGCGATAAGGAATTGCCTATGAAGTTGGCCAGCGTGCAGGTACTTTTAAGTCACGATGAGAGAAAAGACGCGATCGCTATTCTTGAGAACCTAAACGAAAGGGACAGATCTCTACCTGGAATAGTTAGCGCGCTCGTTATGCTTCATTTGGCTGATAATGACCGGGAAAGAGCGTCGACCGCTCTAAAAAATGCGGTCACTTATTACAAAAAGAACAAGGTATTAAATATTTTGTTATTTTCGACGTGACGTTTTTCTTTACCAAATCGTGGGAAATTTCGTTTCAGGAAACTACTGAAAATTTGGGAGAATTGTGGCGACAAGCTGCTAATTTTTACTTACGCGGTGGAGAGCTCAAGATTGCGGCCGACATTTTGCAAGAATTAGTAGACGCCTCGCCGTCCGACACCAAGACGCTAGCTCAATTAGTAGTAGCTTATGTGCAGTTCTGCCCTACTAAAGCACAGTCACTATCTAAAAGATTACCACCTCTTCATGATCTTGCCGAAACTACCGACGTTGATGCATTAGAGAGCAGCAATTGGGTTATCGGAACGAAAGTAGTAAAGAAAAAGATTGAACCTTCGCCCGGGTAAATATTATATATATATATATATATATTTTTTAGCCAAGATATACTTTTATATAATTCGAATACTTGAAAATCGTGTGCATTTTGATTTCCAGCAAACCAATATCAGATATAATTCAAAAGAAGCACAAGAAACGTAAACGCAGAGGCAAGTTACCAAAACACTATGATCCAAACATTTCGCCAGATCCAGAGAGATGGTTACCCAGACACGAACGTAGTGGATTCCGTAAGAAACGAGACAGAAGGAATAGGGATACCGCTATGAAAGGGACACAGGGAGCCGCTACAGGAGCTAGTGATCTTTAGTACGTACATCCTCTTACATAATATGTATATACTGTATTTCTGTAACAGCAGCGGCAGCATTAGTACTCCAATTTGGAAAACATATTTAACATTTTTCCTTGGTACTACCAGTCGGTTGCTTTCATAATACGTCGACCCTACTATAAATGTACGACGAATTAATCATTAAAGAGATAATAATAATGTGTATTTGACTTTACAGTGACATCACTAAAATGCCTGCTAATGCCAAGCCTTCTCCGAACCCTCGTCATAGTTCCACAGTGGAAACTTCTGGACCACGTCAGCAACAACGCAAAGTTCAACAGAAAAAGAAGAAGAAGGGTAGCAAGTGGTAATGATTCTCATGTTAAGTAAAAACTGACTAAACTCATCATCTTTTGATATTAAACAAAATAAATTGGACCCTTATTGAAAAGAAACAACAATTTGTTACCGAAAGAATAATCAAATGAATTTGCTACTGTGTAGCTGTATTTTGTGAAAAACACAAGGTGCAATACTGCCATTAAAAAATAATATTTACACGCTGTACGTGTGTTAATCAATCACTCGCAGATTTACCAACATACCTTGATGTTTCACGCATTTAATGCATTAAAAAATTTATCAATTAATTTTATATTTACCAATAACACATGTATACTCTATTAAGGACATTTTTCTCTCTCTCTCTCTCTCTCTCTCTCTGTATTTGTAAATCTGATAAGAAAACTCCAAAACGTTTTCATATTGCAAATACCTATAAACATATGTAAATAAATACAATATGGACAATATTATGGTTTAGAAAATATTTGTATTTCTCTTTTCTCACAAAACATCTTCTTAATCAATCCCGTGACATATTAACATGTAAGTAACGCTTCTTTTGTGAACATTGACTAGGGATAGGTGATACATCTCTGTTTCACATTGATAACAATTGTATATAAAAATACCATTCTCTTTATACTCAGCAACTCTGTAATATGAATAGATAATGTGCGTTGGTTTGTAACATTTGTATGTATGTATGTATATGTAACAGACATATAAGTGGCACAAGTCAAAATTGTCAAATATATTGTAGTATTACATTGAAATATAATTTTAATGCCACTTTGATAATATTTTTATACTGATTATGTTGTTCAACTATGTAAAAACCTTGTAAAGATATATTTTGAAATATCGCTATAACGAATCGATGTGCGCGTGAAAGAATCTTGTTACTAGCAGTAACTTAACTTATTGTCCTGCGATCAAGCTACACTACATTATTGTTTGTTGCTGTGTATAAACCGTTTACAATTCTGATATCAAATTTTAATTTCAAACGAATAATCACTCAGTATTACATATTCTATTCGTTAAAAAAAATTATATTCCTGTATCGGAAAGATATACGAGACATGGGTGGGCACTGCTGGTCGTCTTTGCTACTTTTCCTCATACCGATTTTACATTCATATGTAAAATGATAATATTGTCTCAACAATGTTTGAGAAAGACAATTATTCAATTAAATAATCTCAGATATTTACTACATATAGCTAATATTTACATGTTTAACTCCTCACTGACAAATCATCGTACGTTTTCTGTAGCAAAGCGAACAAATTGGGGAAAAAGGTGTGTTCAATTTTCTGTTTATCAATGTAAAGAATAGACGAGTAAGGCACAAATATACGCATGCGCGCTAATACCAGAATAACGTTATGCGAGCCATGGTAGGCTATGCCTACGCAGCCACCATAATGTGAATGCGTATAATGTACAATGAGGTATAAATCATTATAAATATTCCTCTATATTAGCGATATATAACGCTACTTTGTAGGTATTATGCCCTCCCAAACGTCCTCTCGTTGTTTATTGGCTAATCGTCTTTTTTCTGTAAAGCAAAAATCTCTCTTGGTCCAACTTGTCCAACAATTATTGAATAGAATTTTTACTATTACTATTTAATACACGTATCAAGATTACCTTTTGCTTCGCGTAATACATTCTTTTCATGTTCACGTTCTTGTCTAGCCGTGGCAAGCCTCACGCCCAATGCACCTGTAACTAATCTTCTAGCTAAGGCGGCGCACGTTTCAGGACGATTCCTATAAGGTTGCAAAAATTCGGCGCTTCTTCTAGCTTTCGTTTTACTCAAAGCAGTAGCTTCGCTAAGTGGTCTCGTTTTCACAAATGGATGATTCGATGCTAACACTTCGGCAGCTTCAAGAAAAATAAAAGAAGCAAAAAAGAATATAGCTAATTGTGACAAGTCTGATTACAATTGGACTTATCAGAGGGAAACTATTTTCAATGATATTATTAGCAGCACCAAAGATGCAAAACAATAGTTGCAAAATTTTCTTCAATATAATCAAGTTACATATTAACAGGGATAGGAAAGTTACTTTTTCAAAGTAACTAGTTACCCTTACTCGTTACCGTTATAGTTACTCATTTTTTAAAGTAACTCGTTATCGTTACTTAACAAAATAACGATTACTTATTTTTTTTAATTCTGAACCGAGATCAGACAAATTAAATCATCTACTTTAGTATTTGGTTTTACTAACAAAGATATTAATAGATTAATAAAACAATTTGTTATTTTAAATTTGTAAAACCATGAAAAATTTAAGGAGATAAATTATGAAATGCTCAAAATATGTAAATAAAAGGTCTCATTTCTATAAAGCTGTATAAATACAGCTAAAGTTATTTTTATCGTGTTCTAAATTTTTCATTCAAATGTTTAACGGAATAATTCATAACAACCCATGATAATAATAGATCGATGCCTGAAGATTTCGTTACCAGTCCGTTATGAAAAAACGTTGTAACTTGTAACGGTAACGGCGTTTACCCTGTATATTACCTATTTTCATATTAATATAAATTACTAGACGTGTATACACGTACCAACGAGGGGACTGCTGAAAACTCCCAAACAATGAGTATCGTCCACCCACTTGAGCTCAAAACCACCATTCTTAAAAGAACTGAAGACAGCTGCCAAATCGCTAGTCTTGAACTCGGAAGGGAAATTGTAAATTTCTACAACGTGTGCAAACTCGTCGCTGGACACCTCAACTTGTTTGTTGTATGTCTTGTAAACGTTCTTTGGTTGCTCTATCACTACTTCACCTACTGCTGACGTAAGCTAAAATAAGAGAAAGAAACGATGCATAAATAATCGACTAATTACATGCAACAAAATAGACAAACGCAAGTAAAGGTCATTTAGTATAAAAACGTAAATACATATATACTGACCTCGTCTATTAACGTTGGATCTAAACAATCGCCATTGTCGTCAAATAAGCTATCCCAATCGCACTCGTCTCTGTTCATTTTCAGAGGTGGAGAAGGTGGCGGAACCGGTTTGCTCTTTTGCCTCTCCACCTTTTTTACTTTCTTCTCGGGTGGCGTTACAACGATTGAAGAGAGTTGTTCAGACTCCTTGGATTTGTTTTGAATGGCATCGGAAATTATTAGGACATCCGGTACATTCTGCTCAACTAGTTGTCTAGCTTTGTCATCGATTACATCGTTACAACTTGACTCGCACGGTTCGTGCGAGGACTGATTTTCTTCTATAGTTTCTTGTATCTTCTCTAATGATTTGTCATTGATTTCAACTCGGTTGGATAATTTAAACAGACTGGAATTGGTACTATCTTCGTCAAGGTTATTAGTTGCGACAGTTTCTTCCTCTTCGGATAAAGTTGGCACATCTTTCAGTTGTTCTAAAAGTTTATACACGTGCTCGGTATTGCCCAGAGTTTTTTCAGAATCTAAAGGAACTACGTTTTCTGAAATCTCTCGCGGGAAACGTTCATCCTCGATCTTCGTGTCGCGATTATTCAAAGTCGTACCGCCTCTATTTTGTTGACTACAACATTCATCTTGTAGCTTCAAATTATTATTCATAGCTGAATCTTCATTTAATGTCGCGTGAGAAACTTTCAGACTTTGCGGCTTCTTATCTTCAGTCTCTAAACTTCTGCGAGGTCTCGGTACGTACACAGCTCGATCAGGTCGTTTCTGACGTACATTCCTGCATACATACATTAATAATGTGTTTTGGAATAGCTAGAATCAGTTGTCAAGTACATTCTAGATATGTATATAATACTTATGATTAATAAAACTAATTTAGTAAGCCTTACTTGACCGAGGATAAATCTGTAGTTGATTGCGTCTGTGTACTATTTATCTGAGGGCAATTGTTAGCCCTCCTAGCCGGTGGCGGTCGATAAATCTCAACCGTTGGTACCGACTTGGCTGAAAGCAAATGAAACTTTCAAGTATCTCGCGACACGCCGGTTATCAATTACTTGTATTCGTAATCTCACCATGTCGCTGCAGTTTGCATTCTGGAGATGTCGAGGGCGAGCGTCGGCCTTCGATACCCATTCCGCAAGTCGTGTCCTCTTGTTTTGCCGCAATATTTATTTTACACTCAAGAACATTCGGTTTTGGGACCCAGTCGCTTTATAACAAAGTAAATGTTTTTTTTTAATAATCTTGATGTTTCTGAATCATGGTTCACAAGGACAATATACCGACGGAATAAAAACGATGTTGCGGTTGAGAGACAATCTCGACTACTTTCGTTTGCATATAGCGTTGCAATTGAACAAACATAGGTACGTTCTGTACTATACATATACACCTGCTCCAAAATTTTCACACGTGTTAACGTCTAAAAATGATATGCAGTCGCAAAAGCTATTGATGAAAGAAAACACAAATAATGGTTTACGCGGTCCGTAATTCGTTAAAATAATTGGGTTGAACGTGTACTTAAAGATTGTAAAAAAAAAATGAAAAATGTGCAGCTTATTAGTGGAGATCGAGAGTAATTCTTGGCACTTGGTTACTCTGTACCTTCTCACATCGCTCTTGTAGCATACTACGGTACGTCTAGCCCAGCCTTGGCCGATCGAGAAGGTACGCAGTAAATCCGGGAAACGATCCTGTATCAGCTGGTGTATCAAGTACCGACGATAACTGTTGACAGGCGGGAAGACGAGCACTCTGCAAAAGTGAAAAGAAAGAACGCGTTTCTCGCTGAAAGTGAGATCGAGCCGACTGCCTGTATTGGTACGTTTTGGTGAACGTAATGCCTTACGGCACTGGTCCGAGGTGGAAGGGGAAGAGAGACGAGACGATACAAACGCCAGCTTTTACATAACCCGTTCACTTTCTCCCTCGTTCGTTGGCCGAGGATCGCGTTGCCGCGTTTGCGTCTCGCCGTCATGCCGCAAATTTTCCCTCGACTCTTTCGTTCCGACGATTCTATCGCGCGAGTGACGACACGGTACTACATCGGAGCAACCGGCAAGAAAAATATCCCACTTGCTTGACACATCGTTAAACGGTGTGACAATCAACAGCTAGTTTAATTACGTTCCCTTCAACTACAAACAGGAAATGGAGTGCACTGCCTTACACCACGTGGTTACGTGAATTTAGTAAACGTATCCGATGTGGATCCGATGTGTTGAAAATAGACAAATTGTATAATATTTTAGCCGAGGAGTAAACCGCTGAGGGCATTGTGGTGTACATTTGCAGCATTACTGGGCATTAGACTTTGCTAGGGCATTAGTAAGCATTCAATTTCGTCTTCAAGTGTCTCGAAAACTGAAACTTGAAGGTAGAGACATTACACTTTTCAGGACCTTACCGTTTTAATTTACCATTCTCTACGGATGTAAAAGTGTAGAACGTATCGGTTCCACAACAATAAAAGTACCAAAACTATTTACATTAATTTACATAGCATAGCATGCACAAATATAAATAGCTGTAAAATATGACAAAAGTGTGAAATCATGATCCAGTTCTTTGTACTGTGGCGAAAACGGAAACTACAATGTACTATATATATATGCTATTTATAAATTCTATTACTACTAGGCATGGGAACGTGCCATAGTATAGAAGGGGGTAATCTCGTTGAGATTACACGAGTCCTTTATCTGCCAAGGCATCTGGTACATGTGTAGGTATGCAAATATAGCGAGGTATCGAGTAGTCAAGACGAAACTGTACACGTTGCGAGCACCAGCGAATATCGCTTGGATACTCTATTCTCGTTACAACATTCTCATACCTTTTACGCGTCGTATCCTTGGTAAATATGGTTACGTCGTGTTCGACATCCTCGGAAAACAGGCTGTCTTGCAAACTCATTTATCTCTCGTTACATTCACAAAGTATATGCATTCGCGTGTGCCATCGCACACTTCAACATTCACCGTTGTACGTCGGATTTCCGCTCAATGTTTCCATCTTTTTATTCCGCAAACTTGTGTATTACACAATAAACCGCTCCGTTCCGCTACGCTCGGATACACAATTACACATTACACTTGAATATGACCAGAGAGTAAGCGGAGAGCTGAGAGCGGCCACGCCAACGTTTTACTCGATACCGTTTGCGCCCTCTTACGCCCATTCTTTCCCAACTATTTCATTACGCATCTTCGGACTCTGCCGATAAAATTTCCACTTGGTGCATATCTGTGCTATGCATAACATCTAATAATTAGATAAATATCATGCAGATAATTTATGTTAATGTGAATTTGAATTTTTCCAATACAAGATGTTACTAATAAGCCTGTTGGGAAAGAGGTTGGGCTAAGACTAGGACATTTCTAATTAATAACGATCGCGTAAACACCGTAAAAACCGAGCGCGGATTCGACGAAATGACGCTTCGCATATCCGACATATCGTATTATTCTTTCTTGCTACGCGTTCGCGACAAGTGCGGGAAGAAACCGCGATCGCTCAATTCCCGCGATTTGCCATCGATGCTCGATGTAAATTCGCGAGTGTGTCAGCATCATTTCTTGGAAACCGCTCGGGGAATCAGCAACGATGAACTTTAGGCTGACAGATGGTTTCTTTATTTATATCCGACGCTTCGACCATACGAGTTGTAGTCTTTCTCAAGGAATTCAACAATCTACAATTCAGGAACGCAACCAAAATTGGGCACTGCATTACCCGCTTGAAAAACATAGTACGGATTCGCACCAAGTGGAGGCTTTATCGGCAGCGCTTGAAAATAGCGGAATAGTTGGAGAAATGAAAACGGGCGTAAGGCGAAAACGAAAACGAAAACACCCACTACACCTTCGATTCCGCGCCAATCGCAAAACGGAGCAAAGTGATCTGCCATTCGCGGCTTTCCGGGCTTATGCTAATATTACATTTGTCATACGACAAATTTTTCAAGCGCGTTGATTGGCTGCTGAATAGAACATTTCTAGATACTCGAGAAATCACATACGTATTTGACTTATGGTTGAATTCGATCGCATTTGAACGTAATTTAATACATTGAGAGCCACTACATATCACATGATGCGAAAATGAAGTAGCTTCTTGCGTTCCCTTCCCACCATTGCTTGGTCATGGCCATGTTGACCCCGGTGGGAGTCAGGAGCTAGTAATAATAATACTTATGTCCCCTCTCCTTACGTCAATCGGTATAATGGCGTTAAAAATGGTGCGTACGCACGCGCCACACACACACACACAGCCGGATGAAAAATCGCTTCGTCAATCTTCGCGCGGCTCCGTTTTAACTTACTGCTTTACGCCTCCAGCATATGTCTATTCACGTTGCATCTGTGAACTCGTCTCTCTCGCAAGTCCTTAGTTTGACTTAATTCTTTGCCAATTATCGCATCGTCGCTATTGTTGTTGACAACATGAATACCAGATTCACGGGAATAGAATTGGGGCCTCCTATCCAAGTTTTTGCCCTGCAAAAAGCATTCGTCGACGATACTCACGAAAACAAAGTTAATCTCACTATAGGAGGTACGTTTTCTCTTTTATTTCTCACAACTATGATGACCACTTTAGTATCCAATTTCTGTTAGAAAGACAGTTTTGTAGCGATGCTTGTAAGCTTTTCAAAAAATTTGCACTTTTACTATTAAATTAACATATTTTACTAATAAATACAAAACTATCAGTTGTACAAGCTGCACTTTTCTCAACTGTGTACCTTGAAACTTCCAGAGTGTGTTACATAATACTTGTAATATACTCCATGTCACATAAGAATTTCGCACAATCTCTTTTATTGAATTATTTTAAAGAAATAATATATAAAAACAGATGAGAATCAATGCAAGTGTTGCCAAATACACAATCTTAAAAATAATAACTTTTTTTCTACGCCGAATACAAGTATTAATTAAAAGTAAATATTACCATTTCTACCATTTATATATGCTTAATGCAGTGATGGAGCACTAAAAAATCTAGAGATGCTTTTCAGCTTATCGTACTAACGAAGGTAAACCATGGGTTCTACCAGTTGTAAGAAAGGTGGAAAGGTCACTTGCAGCCGACGAGTTACAAAATCACGAATATTTGCCAGTTCTTGGCTTAGAAGCGTTCAGCGAAGCTGCTACGAGTATGTTGTTAGGTGCAAACTCTCCTGCTATCGCTCAAGGGCGTGTCTTTGGTATTCAGTCACTTTCCGGTACTGGAGCACTGCGTGTCGCTGCTGAATTTTTGAGTCGCATTCTACATTACGATACCTTTTATTATAGTAAACCATCCTGGGGTAAGTAAACTTAAAAGGATAATACGTCACTCTTATCCCATCTACTAGTCAAGATTTTCATGTATTATAAGATTATGTGCTGGCAGAAAACCACCGACTGGTATTTACTAATGGAGGGTTTAAGAACGCTGGTGAATATGCATACTGGGATGAAAAGACTCGTAAGATCGATTTAGAAGGAATGCTCCGTGATTTACGAGATGCGCCTGAAAACGCCGTAATTATTCTACATTCGTGTGCACACAATCCTACTGGATGCGATCCAACTCCGGAGCAATGGGCAAAAATAGCTGATGTGATAGAGGAAAAAGGACTTTTTCCACTATTTGACAGTGCATATCAGGTCAATATTCAAGCGAATTATTATCTTTACAGTGTTGTTGCAGTTGGCTCTAATAAAACTGCACATTGATCATTATTAGGGTTTTGCGAGCGGAGACTTGGATAAAGATGCATATGCTGTACGAATGTTCGCCGAGCGTGGAATCGAATTTATCTGCACGCAAAGTTTCGCGAAAAATTTTGGATTATACAACGAAAGAGTCGGCAACATCGTTTTTGTGTTGGCCGATACAAAGGAGATGGTTCAAGTTAAATCACAATTAACGTTAATTATCCGAGGAATGTACAGCAATCCTCCTAATCATGGTGCTCGAATTGTCGCGACTGTCTTGAGGAATCCACAACTTTTTGAGGAATGGTATTGACGATTTGTAGAACCTATATAATATTATATAAAACACGAAAAAGCAATCATCTCTGATATTTCAGGAAGGATCATATTAGAACAATGTCTGGTAGAATTAAAGAAATGAGAGTAGGTTTGCATCATAGACTGCTCAAATTAGGTACTCCAGGTATTTGGGATCATATCGTTGAGCAAATTGGAATGTTTTCCTACACAGGACTCAATGGTTAGTTGTGAAAATTATATCTCTTGGCTTTTATGTATCATGTTGTATTAGAACAAACATTTTCCCCACCAATTTCTTTCCTTTTAGAGAAGCAAGTGCAGCATCTGAGAGATCATTATCACATTTATATGTTACGCAGTGGACGTATAAATATGTGCGGACTCAACGAAAATAACTTGGATTATGTGGCAAACGCGATTAATGAAACGATACAGTTGTTTCCAGAAGCACAGAACGACTGTACGTGTTAAGATGGAATATTACAAGTACAAATAATGAAGCATCACATTAAAAACGGCAATATTTTATATATATTATACATATATACATATTTTATATGGCAAAATTCCATTTCCAGTTAGTCAACAAACGATTATCTTTTACTAATATTGGAATTTCTCATACGAAATCATGTGCATTTTGTCTCGATCCTACTTTAACGTCAAATTATATTTTACGTATACTTATCCTCCCTGTGGTAAAGTCTTTTCTTTATTTCTCTCTATCACAAAATTTTACAAGACAAAGTACAAAACACTACAAAGTATTACAATAATGCCAAATTTTTTATGCGTATTCATTATATCATATTGTTACGTAAACAAGAGTTTTAGATATATACGTAGTTTTTATCTATTTTTAGAAGTAAACATTATCTAGTAACTTAGGAAAATTTGTTACGTTGTGAAAATTATTGATTGTATTTAATTAATAACTGGAAAAAAGTAAATACAACTGGTTTGTTTGTTGTTGAAACTTTTACTAGGGATTTTATAATTTAATCTATTATACAATTTCATTTAAACTATGGGATAAAACAAATATACAGATTGATGTGCTACACAGAAAATGGATATTATTTTCAATTAATAGAACATGGTAAAATAACTGTAAATAATACCTAATGATATCTATTGATTCTCCAACACACAGTGGGCTTCCGTAATTAAGCGGGTACATGGTATATGTATTATTACACTTTTATCAAGACAAATTCATATTGATAAATATGAATTGAATACTGTGCAGGAGAAATTAACGCACATGGAAAATATTACATATATCAGACGCAAGTATGGTAAAATAGTTAATAATGCGAATATATTTTTGTGGCAATTATTTCGTTGCAAAATTAGGACCAATTCCATGTAGTTATGAAAATAGTATACCACTTTGCAGTAAAATTGTGTAAATTTGTACAAACAGCTATAATAATGTTACATAAAAATATCACTTGAAACAATTTATTAATAAGAAAAATTAATACAGATTTACTTTTGCGACAAGTTTTGAGATTTCGTAACATTTGTGTGTCACAAATCTGTACGAGTTTTGATCAACAGTGTCAAATTAATAGTTGCTTTATTAAAATATAGATGGAAGCTATTTCACACGAAAATTTTTGAGATTTATGTAAACATGTATTGTTAAGACACAACTCATTGGAGTTGAAGCTTTGACTTAATCGTTCCATTTGGATGTTTTGTCTATTAGCACCACAGTATCGTCTGATTTAATCACAGTTTGATTCCTCTTGTGATTAGAATTCATATAAAAGATGTATCCTGAACAAGCCAACATTGCCACAACACCGCAAATCATAACAGCTTTGTTCTGCAAGATAACATTTGATTAATGACTGAATACTATATGGTTGTACAACATTATTACCGGTTTGGCATACAACTCGAAGTTAACGGCACGGAATAGCGTGGTGCTCCGCAATGATCGCAAGCCGTCGCCTGGCGTTGTTTCACGAGTATTTTTATTCATCTCTCCCAATCAGCTGCAGAATTTTACATTCACCGGACACACTTGTCCGGTATATGTATATAACCTAACCTAACCTATTTGCGGAGATGAGGTATCTTCTGTCTCACAAGCTTGATAACATTGTTGTAACTGAAAAAAAAGTGAGAGAAAGATATCGACCGACGCTCGAATTCATTGAACCTGCGAATGTTTAATCGACGTTTATGCGTATACCTTGTGTTTATTTGGCAGCCTCAAACGAACAGCCGCACCCGAAATCTCATTGGCTGCGAGATAATTACGGAGTCGCGCGGCTCGCGGCCATGTTACGGGTGTACGCGCGACACGTAGGATCCCAACGTACATACTTGGTGATGTAGGAGAGCCTGAGTGAATATATTATTGGCCTGTCCGACGTCCGACGTCCAACGTTGGACGTTCGACGTGGAGGAGCTCGTTAACCCCTGCGGACTTAATATTTACATGAGCGACACTGTCATCTTTCAAGGGGGTGTTACATGTTGTGACATCGAACCATCTCTCTCTCTCTCGACACGGGAATGAAGCTAGTATAAACAAAAAGAGGGGTAAGTGTGGCACTGTAAATTGTTGAATTGTTCAAGATACTCAACGGCGCAGCACACGTCAAGTTTTGAAAAAAGAATTGGAGTATCCGATTAAAAGCTCGTGCCTCACGACTTTCGTTCGCGAACTCGCCGTTCGCGCCGCATTTACAGCGTGATCAATCTATTCTCTACGTTTCTCACAGAGAAAACTAACGTTTATTCAAATATTGTTAGAATTGCCGTTGCTGCGTGCTGCACCATGTGCGTAATATAATTTTGACGTTATTCCAAACTTGCAGGCTTCCACTCGACTGACCATAAAAATGCCAGGTTGCGCAGCTGTCGGTTGCAACAATCGTAGTGAGAAAGGATACATCATGAAGTGTTTCCCTCGCGATCCGAAATTGAGAAAACTCTGGCAGGATCGCGTCGCTAGAGCCGACTGGGAACCATCCAACAATTCCTTTCTTTGCCACGTGCACTTTGAACCTGAGGAATGGTCTATAACTCAAACTGGTAGGGTCCGACTAAAGAAGAATGCTATCCCATCTATCTTCACTGTGACGTCAACCAGAAAATCACCCAAGAAACGCATCAAGTTGACAAATAAAAAGGAATATGAAAACGATTATATGACCGAGTCTTTGGAGAACGATACGGAACATTCGTCGACTGGTCACTTGGAAGAAAAGGATTCCGATTCGCAGGATATTGACAATCCTGTGCAGTCACTTGTATATCCACAAATAAGTCATCCAATTAAGCTGGAGAATAAACAGGTGTCTTACGGGCAATATATAGATATTACTGACGATGTTGAGCAAGAGAATATTATTATAATTTCAGACGATAACAATATGAAGATGGAGAGTAACGCCAAAGAGGACGACGCTGAGGAGCGAGCAGGCGCTGGCAATGGAAACTACATCGGTAATTTTGTAGCCAAGAGAAATTCAACTGGTAACCAGAATGAGAGGAACGTTGCTGTTAAGACAGAGATAAAACGAGACATCGATCAAGTGTTGAACGATGATTACGATGAAATAGAGGAGAAGCTGAAGCAGATTTGCGACGGTCACCGCGAGGAGAAGAACGCATCTGATATCCAGGAATTGAACTCGATCTCTAGAAATTGGAAGGGAACTTTGGAGAAAACGCAAATGCCATTGCACAAGGGTATAAATTACAAGTATTCGCCGAAGAACGAAATTGGAAATATGCTTACGGACGATAGAGATAACATCGAAATTATCTTTGGCAGTGAAAGCGGGGAAGAATTTGCACGCGTTCCTAGGTGTACATTTTATACGAGTGGGACTAACGACGACGATAAGCAGGATCAACGTACCACGTCGACAAACCTCACTAATAATATCGTTAATAATAAAGAGACGGTTGAAAGATATACGGAAGAAGCTGTCAACGGAGAAAATGTGTCCAACGTAAGGATCCCCCCTGTCAAGTGTAAACTGAGAATTCGGGAGCAAGTTGTCAAGTCTAGAAAAAGTTCACTTCAAAATCTCTATTTCCATGATAGAAATTCGATGAGTAGAAGCGATACTTCGGACATGGTCGATATGGCAAATCAAGTAAAAGAGGAACTGAATGAATCTGACGATATTACGCGATATAATAAAGACGATGTCGCGTTAGATACGACACAATTTACGGTGAAGGTGACGGGTGATCGCGAGGATGTATTTGATATTATGCAATATTTAGGTACAAAGACAAAAGATTTTACCATTGAAGAACACAATAACGCTTGTTTACAGCAAAATGTTACATCTATCATAACGATAGACGATTGTCCGATAGAAAGGAGTTTTACAGACAGGCGCAACAACGATGTCTTTTCGCCGAGCACCGCAAGTATCGCCGCGAGAGATAATGATCAATTCGCTTTGCCAATTTTTAAAAATGACCAATGTCCAACTACAAGGTTACCGCGTGTGGAGCATTTGAGCATAGATGACAGCATGATTACCGAACGATCGACCGCCAATGTATATAATAAATGTGAATACGAGAAATTACAACAAAAAGTGAAACTGCAAGAGACTGTTATCAAACGATTAACCAATCAACTTCTTTTACTTAAGGATTTGGAGAAAAAGCTGCTGAGTAAAAATTTGCTGCTTCGCGCCAAGACGAAGAAGATGGAGAAACAGTTGAACGAGTTGAACAAAAGTGGAACGGATGGCATATCGTGTTCGATAAACTACAAGCAAACGGACATGAAACAGAAGTTGATCTACGATCTGTCCAACAGAATGAGTAATCTTGAAGAGTCCAATAAAAAATTAATGAAAACCATAACTATAGAGAGTCAGCAAAAGAGGCAGCTGGAAAGTCAAATCAAGCAGAGAGACAAACGAATAAAAGAGCTCAACTGGAAATTGGAGAAGGCTTCCAAGTACCTCGAGCGAGCGGAGAAGAATACAAATACGTACAAGAGGAAAATGCTCAATATGCAAACTTGTATGAGGAGAAAGAAGCTCTTGGACGGGAATACCAGTCAATTTCATGAAATCATGTTAGATAGTGTGCAGGAAAACTATACCGAGAAAGTTTTAGCAATGGCGATGGAAATTAAAGAGATCTGCGGTACGAGTGGATACACAAAGTTGTTAAATTTCGGATTTCCCTTTCCAACGTTGTCCGCTTTGGAAGCTCCCCCGAGTGACAGCATCTCAGATTCCAGTAAAACTAACGACGGCATTCGGCGAGCGATCTCTTTAAAACAAGACACGAGAACGCACGACACTCATTGTCAGCCTATGGGAAATAACGTGGAAATTGATGCAAGGTGTCATCACGCGGTTAACGAAACGTCGCTGTGCGGAGAAATCGCGACGGACGGTATGGAAACTGTAACAGGCACGGTTCAAGATATTTTTGAGGAAAGCAATGACGACGTGGATGATTTTAGTACAAATGAATTGAGAGAACATTTTATTTTACAATTAAACGCAGTTATATAATTATTGCCTGTAATTGTGTGTAATACCTTTTACCTTCGAAATATATAACAACAACAACGTGTAAAGGGTTTGATTTGTGAACATATCGTTGTATAATCGAATATCAAATACTATCCATACTATTTATTATACAATGACGTGAGAGAGGTGCGTTGTAGCTCTGTGAATGTTACGTGAGATGACTTGCCAGATTATACATGTATAAATATTTTTTTAAGTAAAGTAACACCACACTTTTGGCACGAAACTATACTTTTCTTTGAAATGATAATTTCTTATTTAAAAATCCTCACATAAGTTTCTATATTCATTCCATTTGTCGCAATTGTATTGTACAAACGAGGGAGAGGATCTATCAAACTTGCCATGGTAACGGGACTCTATACAACTTTGATGGGTGAGTAGTAAAAGTTTACTCTTGGCAACTTGGCACGAAAGCGAATCGACCAGCTGAGCCGAACGGGGTTACCATAGCTACGTTTTTTCACCTCGAGAAGTAGAGACTCTGGAGGAGACCAGACGAGCTTTTATACCAATTGCTATTGGTATACAATCGTTTTACCTACGTTCTAAATCTTTTATCCAAATAAATGGCGACAGCGATGAAAGAACGCACAATTGCCGCGATGGACACGCTAGTCAAGTATGACAATCCGGTTTTGATTACGACTCATCCGGAGAAGGTACGACGAATTTTTATCATCATTTTCTACTTTTACTTTTCCACTTGATGAAAATGAAAATACGAAACGTTGTGTGTGTTTTCCATTAAACAACAGATACGTAAGGAGTCGGCACTGGCAAAAGTCGGTATAGCTGCTTGCAAGATTCAAACAACCTCAGCCTCAGCTGATACGCGACGTGAAACTATTGAAATTTTAAATAGAATTGTACCGCCAAAGGAGTGGGAAGAGGATGGCCAGATATGGACTCAACGTGTAAAATAAGACAAATTCTTAAAACAGCTAATCTCTCTTTTCAATCGTGCGACAAATGGCATACGCTATATTTAGGTGTCGAGTACTCCCGCAACGCGATTAGACGTGATAAATTTACAAGAGCAACTTGATATGCGATTGCAACAGAGACAGGCCAGAGAAACCGGCATTTGTCCCGTTCGTAGGCAGCTCTATGCCCAATGTTTCGGTATACGTTCATACTTAAGCTCTATACCCCTGGCAATCAGGTAAATTCAAATAGGCATTTGCGAAAATATTTTGTCGTATACGATTATTACACGTTTCAGACGAATTAATACGGCAAGTAACTGTAAACTGTGCCGAACGTGGATTACTTCTCTTGCGAGTAAGGGATGAAATCAAAATGACATTAGCCGCGTACCAGACGTTGTATCAAAGTAGCATCGCTTTTGGGATGCGTAAAGCGCTCCAAGTATCTATCTTTTGAATATCATATCGTACACGCCCTTCCAAGTCTATACACGTATAAATATATTGTATTTCGCTGTTACAAGCACTGTCTGTCAAATTTACCATACGATCGCTGATGAAAGATCTTACTTTTACAGGCCGAGCAAGGCAAGGAAAATTTGATTAGCACAGTTGACGAACTGAAATTACAAAAGACTGAGTTGGAGAGAACGGTTGCGGAACTAAGGCTCAAGTATGATCAGTCTGAAAAAAGATCGGCCGAATTAAAAGAAGCGGAGGAAAAAAAACACTCGGAGGAAGTACAGTTTCTTAAAAAGACAAATTTGCAATTAAAGGTAAAAATACAGATACTTTAAGGTATTCTAAAATGCAGAAAATATGTACATAGATATACACGTTGAGCTACTTCAATACGAATGTTTTAAGTTAGACCTTAAAATGAGATGATACGATTGCAAAGCACACATTGTACAAAATGTGATTATTTTAATGCCACTTTGACTATTATAATTTGCAGACTCAATTGGAAGGTATAATTGCATCGAAAAAGTAAGAAATCATGGAGAAACAATTTTCATTTAAAATAGTTTATGGTAGTTACAATATATTATCTGCAAGAATTATGTGTTTATACTCGCACGCACTCCTACGCAGTTGCTGATTATTAACAAACTTGCATGGAACACGTAGCTTATAACTATATGAAGTAGGAATAAAAGGAAATACATGATATTCCAATAAATGCATATCCTATGAATAAAATACCAACTATTTATTGCAAATAGGTGCACAAATTATTTTTTACATAACCATTTTCAGTTTTAAAACCCTAAACTCGTGGTAAAATATCTTAAAACGTACGTTATTGCTTCTTACCACTTAAATTTGTAAAGTTTAAATTTTTTATAATTAATATAATTGTAAATTTACTCGGGAAAAGAATATAAATGTAATTACAGAGCTTTTCGCTTTCACATTGTAACGCTGTTTATGAAAGAAAAGTTTATTTTATTTATCTTGTAATAAAGAATTCGAAAGATGATTACTATTACACGAAAACTAAAAAACTTACGATTTACCGCGTTTATAATTATTTTTTTATCAATTTTGACTTGTGTAGTAATCTATTTCATGTTTCATATCGTACATTCGTAATGTGAAATGTTTGACATTTTTCACATTCCTCCACAATCTTTTACATGTAAATCTAGATAGAGTAATAAAGAAACAAAATTATAAGATAATATCATTAAAACACATTAAGTTATCATTTAATAAATATAATTTAAAGATATTTTGTAATATTTTAAAACCAAAATATGTTTTATATTCAAAGTTGAACGCATTTTTACACTTTGATAGGCAAGAATCGTATCTCGCTATATAAGGCGTAGAGATTTAGTGTTTGATATTGTATAATATAAACGCTATTACGATGACAAAGTAAATTTGCGGGAGAGAGGCAGCGAGATTAGAGATGGAATATCTCTTATTAATTTTCTGTGATAATAGATATTTTATATGAAAAAGTACTAACGTTGGCACTTTTAATAATCCTGTAACATCGATAATTTGTAATTTCCTACAACATGGATAAGTGAATATTATTAATCTTAAAATTATGGTATATTAATAAATAGGATGTGTATCGTGTATGCGCGCTCGCGTGCGTGTATGTGCCGAACAGTTAAAGGTAAGTTTCCATTAGATGGATTGATTTTAGCGAAATAAAACTGTCATTGTTTTTCTCTACTCGCTTGTATATACACGTACGTAACTCATCGCTGGTGTGGTACGTGATAGTCGGTAGGCAAAGTTTAAACTCCCTAACGTTCAAACGTTATATCGATAATATAATATTTTTCAAGTGCCTCCCCTACGTAACGAACGAGTTTACTTGATTTCACTCATTGGTCCCTCATTTTTAATCGCACTTTGAATAGCAGATAATCGCAATTTCATTTAATTTTACTTATTTACACTAATTGGAAAATCCATGTCTCTATTCACATTGTCTATCAAATAAATAGATTCTTTTTTAATCGCATACATTTTGAATTAACAAATAATGTAAAAAAATAGTCGGTATAAAATAATATTCTTAAATCTAAGACAATATTAATATTACGAATACATCATAGGTGATAAATTATATAAAAAGTGTGATGTCTTGAATTTTTCACAGTCTCGCGTAAATGTACTAAAAATACATCCAAAGTAGTAAATATGTATCATATGTATGGAAAATTTGTAACAGATGCAAAATTTATTCTGATTACACTATTTGATTGAAACTATCAAACTGTAATAGTTTAGCCCCGATTTTTGGGGAAACTCTTCAATACGATAATAATCTTTAATAAAGTAAACCGAAATTTGCTATTTTTTTTACTGAAATAATACAAATGTTTTTCTTACAGTAATCTATTTCAGATCAAAATAAAATCTTTATAAAAGTTATATATATATATTAAAATCAAATAAATAAAATATTCTACAAACATAAGATAAGCCCATTGGCCGACCTATAATTTAAACATTGTCTCGGAAACAGCTAAATTATTTATAATATACTTTACTTGGTACTATATTAGCAAAGCAATTGTAGAAATAACAATTTTAAAACACGTTTCATCATGTTTCAATGAATATAAATAACCAATGACAATGGGCGTTAGAAGAATGTTATACTGCACACACGATTATAAAGCATAGTCGTAATTATGTATGTAACATTATAATTGCATAGTTTTATCACATCTTTAAAGCATCTTTCTAAAGAAACGATGGTAAAAATTCTCAAAGAATTTTATAGAAGAACGGCATAACTTTCATCATGTTTCACATAATGGAAAATGCAATACGTCTGACGACTCTTCGCTAGTATACCTTTTGTGTCAATATGATCATCACGTGTAAATACATGCAAAATTGTTATACAAACAAATGATTGGATAAAAACATTAAAAACGAATTATGTCAATACATATCCGTACATTGAAACAAAATTTAAGTTTTTACACAAAAGTATACAAAAACTCCAAAAAATAATAATAAATAATATAAATGTTATCCGTTAATTGTCAGAGTTAATTCCTTGATACTTAATTACTTTTTAATCTCTTTTTTTTTCTTAAAATCAACTGTCACATTTTATATTCCCCATGAGTTAACAACATTTCAGATAAACGTACAACATATTAATCGTAAAATATGACAACAATGTTAATGTACGAAAATGCAGTAATATTTAATATCAAAATATGCAATTTCACCAATTTCTGTTACACACGTTAGGTTCATGAAATCGCAATATACATATGTGATACATGTACAGAATGTAATAAAAATGTTTGTTATATTTCTATACAGAAATAATGGATGTGTCGCGTATTTACTGAAAAAATATATATAGCTTTGTGTAGAACCTATTATATATTCATTGAAAACAATATGTTTATCTAGAGCCAGATTTATTGTATTCATATTACTGATGATATTTGTATGGAAGAAAAAAAATGTAAAAAATACAGTGACATTTGTGTTTTTATGTTTGTGTGTGTGTGTGTGTGGGGGGGGGGGCGTGTGTATGACAATAATATGTACCAGTGCGCATTAAAAATTAAAAAAGAATCGATTGAAATATGTATATAAGTATGTATGTATGATTTATCTATGTTTTATGCTCATGTAATAAGCATAAATGTATGCATATTCACACAAAACAATATTACACAGTTTTGTGTAATAGTAAAATATTGGAATAATAAAAATTTCGTCGATTCAAGTCTATTCAACTTCAATGTTTTGTATCTATCCTATCGGTTAAAATACATATTAAAATATTTTGTCAGTGACGACCTTTCTTCGATCGCTTACGTTTCTTCTTTTTCGTGGATGCAACAGTAATATTTTCATTTGTTTTAGCAGAAGTTTCATTCGCAATTTCAGATGTGTCGGTCGTAGGATGAGAATCTGTCTTTTCTTTTACAGTACTAATAGCCATACTTTGTCCAGTGGTATCTTCACTTTCACTTTCAGCATCGCTTGCACCAGTGCCAGTTATACTTTCCACATCCTCTTCCGCATTGCTTAATTCCAATGATATAATTTTTTCTCGCAATGTTTCCACCTAATTACGAAAATATGTACATTGTAAATTTCAATCATAGCTAATTTTGCGCAATACATTCTGGATTTATAAAGAATATATTGCAAACGATGCGAGAAAAAGTTTTTACTGTTTGCGACAGAAACAATGTAAAAATCTTGTGATATCTGTGGAATCTCTATATATGTATATTAAGACTTATAAACTACAGATCAGATCAAATAACATATCAATTTCCATCACATGTACTTGAAAGCGTTATATTATACATCACCGTCGTTCTTCATTTCTATAGGTATTACAGAATAGTTTAATTTCAATTTTGATGGAAAAGATACGTTAGTTGTCCTATTTCCTCTGCCTTCTTTAACGCTACCTTTAATATCATTCCATCACCTCCCTACATGCAATAGAAAGCACATCGAGCATAAGAAAATATAAACAAGCTAAATTATGCGCACATTACATACAAATGTAAAGCCGTATAAAACATATACATAAGATATACAAAAACCAAATTACCGATGAGTTCAGGAAAAAGTTGTTAGTGAGATCAGTAGAAGTAACATTCATAGTTCACGATGGTGCGTAATGTACCATCGATGTAAGCGATGGAATCTTGAAACAATAACACATTAATAAGTGAGCAAACTGTACACAGAGTGTTTTACATAGATGCACGAAAGCACAAGTAAAAAAAAAAACTTTTCTTTTATCTAACCTTTTAATATTTTTCGTAATGTAATTTTGTAACGTAGATCTTTGTATAAAATACGCAAAATTTTGAATTGACCATGTCTCATCACTTCGGTGCCTTTTAGCATTATGTGTAATAATTCACTTCCTACTATTTACCTAAATAATATTACCGACAATAGTTTTTTTAATCAATTAGTTATCAGACAATATGTTAATATATCATAAGCTCGCGAGTTTCCCCAAAACATGTGCGATCTGGCTTGGAATAAACCATCTGTACCCGTAAATAAAATAAAAAGATAAAAAAAGGATTTAATGAAATGTATACGGTGCACTCTAGAGATAGTTGCAACAGTGATAATTTATAATTGTGCTCTTGATTCCCTTCATTTATGTAATAAATGTGATATACTTTGACGCTCGTGCCAAATTTTACAAGTATAATACCTGACGCTCAATGAGCTTCTCGACGTATTCGACAGTTCGTACACGACGTTCGCCCGTCACCTCGTCGAGATATTCCTCGGTACGCCGAGTGACCTTCTCATCCACTACTTTCTCGGATTCGCGTATCTCTTTAGGAGGGCCCACTTTACTGCGCACAGCGAGCTTAGGAAAATCTGCGCTAGACGGCCGTAACGTAGTAAACTACGATAGTAAAAGACAGACAAACGGGAACCGTTGTAATAACATGATTCTTTCCTTCATGAATGCTGTTAGTTTAGGCAAGCAAGACAGCGATTAGTAAACAAACGGGTTAAACACATAACTTTGAAATAATGAAGCTTGCAGATTAATTGTATCCTCGCGAGGATACTTGTTACATATGTTAAATTAAATAATTAATTTTGTTAACTAGAATACTTAGGAATTTCTACCTCAACTGTTTTCTCTTGATCGGGAGCAGGGTCAGTCGTCTCAGTGGCATCACGAGTATCTTCCTCCTTATTAGCAGTGTCCATTATTTCATTCATCTTTCTGATTACCATCTGTGCCTGGAGTGCATCCTAAGAAAGAAAAAACGTAGCGAGTTTATTATTTTATTTAAGACTGATCTATTATCACAAAACATACACATTATATATTTATCGGTATACTTAGAGATCTATACAATTTTCCAGCTTTACCTGCTCGAGAGATTTAAGACGCGCTTGTCGCCAAGCAGCACGTTTTTCCGCTCTAAGTGCACGTTGTTCCGCAGGGCTTAAAAGATGTTCCTCATCTTCGTCCGAAATGAGACCCTATTATTAAAAGAAAGGAAATTTCGACTATAAACATTAAAAAATAACATTTTCAGCGCAAGTATATAATTATATGCTAATAGAACAGCGTTACGGTTTTAAATATATATCCAATGTTTTATTTAAAATTAAAACATTAAAGGAAAAATCCTATATTAGACGTTATCGTATTATCTGATCAAATGATAAACAAATAAGTATTGAAATATAATAATACCTCTTGTATTAAGCGTTCTTTCAAACGACGTTCTGCTTTTGCTGTCCGCACGCTGCTGGGAACATTCTGGATAAGAGGGATCGAAGTTCGCGAGCTCAGTCGGCTACTGCAAGGCAACGAGCATGCATTTTCACGAATGATATACGCTATAAATGTTTTATGTTCAAAAAGTACAGAGATAACACGAGATGAACGTTATTTAGATAGCAAGTTGTTACATTAGAAGTTTGTAACGAGTACACATGTAAATGCGTTATATCTATTTAAAAATTAGCACTCACAATTGGTCTAAGCAACAACTTTGAAACAAGTTGTTTCTGAAATGCATTATTTGTGTATCAATTTAATTAAACTCTGTTTTATATAAAACTTTTTCCTTCTTTTTCTATGTAATAGAATTAATACGAAATATATTTAAAACATATATATGTATATATTGTATATGTATAAAACCTTGGCAAAATCCAGGCATAAGTAGATACAAGCAATGACAATATACAGCATGGAAGTATACACAAGCTGTTAAATTGTGAATTCATATCTAAAACTCATTGGTGGTAAATAAAAGTGCAAATAAATGTACAGAACACATACTGCATGTATGCATGTATGCATGCAAAAATAATTATACAATTATTTTCAAATGTAAGAATTTGAAAATAAACTTTTCTAATAGGTCAATTGGAAATGAGCTATCACGTAGACAAATAAGTAAAAAACTCAAATTTTCGCACCGTAACTATAATTAATCGTTTGAATATCACGCAAACTATTGGTTTCCGACAGTTTAGTAATTTGAAAATTGTCAAACGAATAACAGAAAATATTTAATATTATACACACACATACACATGCGCGCTCGTATTCACATA